ACTCTGAGACTCTTTAGATGCTACTGTAATACTTTGGTACTCTGAGACTCTTTAGATGCTACTGTAATACTTTGGTACTCTGAGACTCTTTAGGTGCTACTGTAATACTTTGGTACTTTGAGACTCTTTAGATGCTACTGTAATACTTTGGTACTCTGAGACTCTTAGGTGCTACTGTAATACTTTGGTACTCTGAGACTCTTTAGATGCTACTGTAATACTTTGGTACTCTGAGACTCTTTAGATGCTACTGTAATACTTTGGTACTCTGAGACTCTTTAGATGCTACTGTAATACTTTGGTACTCTGAGACTCTTTAGGTGCTACTGTAATACTTTGGTACTCTGAGACTCTTTAGGTGCTACTGTAATACTTTGGTACTCTGAGACTCTTTAGATGCTACTGTAATACTTTGGTACTTTGAGACTCTTTAGGTGCTACTGTAATACTTTGGTACTCTGAGACTCTTTAGGTGCTACTGTAATACTTTGGTACTCTGAGACTCTTTAGGTGCTACTGTAATACTTTGGTACTCTGAGACTCTTTAGGTGCTACTGTAATACTTTGGTACTCTGAGACTCTTTAGGTGCTACTGTAATACTTTGGTACTTTGAGACTCTTTAGGTGCTACTGTAATACTTTGGTACTCTGAGACTCTTTAGATGCTACTGTAATACTTTGGTACTTTGAGACTCTTTAGGTGCTACTGTAATACTTTGGTACTCTGAGACTCTTTAGATGCTACTGTAATACTTTGGTACTCTGAGACTCTTTAGATGCTACTGTAATACTTTGGTACTCTGAGACTCTTTAGATGCTACTGTAATACTTTGGTACTCTGAGACTCTTTAGGTGCTACTGTAATACTTTGGTACTTTGAGACTCTTTAGATGCTACTGTAATACTTTGGTACTCTGACTCTTTAGATGCTACTGTAATACTTTGGTACTTTGAGACTCTTTAGATGCTACTGTAATACTTTGGTACTCTTGAGACTCTTTAGGTGCTACTGTAATACTTTGGTACTTTGAGACTCTTTAGATGCTACTGTAATACTTTGGTACTTTGAGACTCTTTAGGTGCTACTGTAATACTTTGGTACTTTGAGACTCTTTAGATGCTACTGTAATACTTTGGTACTTTGAGACTCTTTAGATGCTACTGTAATACTTTGGTACTCTGAGACTCTTTAGATGCTACTGTAATACTTTGGTACTCTGAGACTCTTTAGGTGCTACTGTAATACTTTGGTACTCTGAGACTCTTTAGATGCTACTGTAATACTTTGGTACTCTGAGACTCTTTAGGTGCTACTGTAATACTTTGGTACTCTGAGACTCTTTAGATGCTACTGTAATACTTTGGTACTTTGAGACTCTTTAGGTGCTACTGTAATACTTTGGTACTCTGAGACTCTTTAGATGCTACTGTAATACTTTGGTACTCTGAGACTCTTTAGATGCTACTGTAATACTTTGGTACTTTGAGACTCTTTAGATGCTACTGTAATACTTTGGTACTTTGAGACTCTTTAGATGCTACTGTAATACTTTGGTACTTTGAGACTCTTTAGGTGCTACTGTAATACTTTGGTACTTTGAGACTCTTTAGATGCTACTGTAATACTTTGGTACTCTGAGACTCTTTAGGTGCTACTGTAATACTTTGGTACTTTGAGACTCTTTAGATGCTACTGTAATACTTTGGTACTTTGAGACTCTTTAGATGCTACTGTAATACTTTGGTACTTTGAGACTCTTTAGATGCTACTGTAATACTTTGGTACTTTGAGACTCTTCAGATGCTACTGTAATACTTTGGTACTCTGAGACTCTTTAGGTGCTACTGTAATACTTTGGTACTTTGAGACTCTTTAGATGCTACTGTAATACTTTGGTACTTTGAGACTCTTTAGATGCTACTGTAATACTTTGGTACTTTGAGACTCTTTAGATGCTACTGTAATACTTTGGTACTCTGAGACTCTTTAGATGCTACTGTAATACTTTGGTACTCTGAGACTCTTTAGGTGCTACTGTAATACTTTGGTACTCTGAGACTCTTTAGATGCTACTGTAATACTTTGGTACTCTGAGACTCTTTAGGTGCTACTGTAATACTTTGGTACTCTGAGACTCTTTAGATGCTACTGTAATACTTTGGTACTCTGAGACTCTTTAGATGCTACTGTAATACTTTGGTACTCTGAGACTCTTTAGATGCTACTGTAATACTTTGGTACTCTGAGACTCTTTAGGTGCTACTGTAATACTTTGGTACTCTGAGACTCTTTAGATGCTACTGTAATACTTTGGTACTCTGAGACTCTTTAGATGCTACTGTAATACTTTGGTACTCTGAGACTCTTTAGATGCTACTGTAATACTTTGGTACTTTGAGACTCTTTAGATGCTACTGTAATACTTTGGTACTCTGAGACTCTTTAGGTGCTACTGTAATACTTTGGTACTCTGAGACTCTTTAGGTGCTACTGTAATACTTTGGTACTTTGAGACTCTTTAGATGCTACTGTAATACTTTGGTACTCTGAGACTCTTTAGGTGCTACTGTAATACTTTGGTACTTTGAGACTCTTTAGGTGCTACTGTAATACTTTGGTACTCTGAGACTCTTTAGATGCTACTGTAATACTTTGGTACTTTGAGACTCTTTAGATGCTACTGTAATACTTTGGTACTTTGAGACTCTTTAGATGCTACTGTAATACTTTGGTACTTTGAGACTCTTTAGGTGCTACTGTAATACTTTGGTACTTTGAGACTCTTTAGATGCTACTGTAATACTTTGGTACTTTGAGACTCTTTAGGTGCTACTGTAATACTTTGGTACTCTGAGACTCTTTAGATGCTACTGTAATACTTTGGTACTCTGAGACTCTTTAGATGCTACTGTAATACTTTGGTACTTTGAGACTCTTTAGATGCTACTGTAATACTTTGGTACTCTGAGACTCTTTAGATGCTACTGTAATACTTTGGTACTCTGAGACTCTTTAGATGCTACTGTAATACTTTGGTACTCTGAGACTCTTTAGATGCTACTGTAATACTTTGGTACTCTGAGACTCTTTAGATGCTACTGTAATACTTTGGTACTCTGAGACTCTTTAGATGCTACTGTAATACTTTGGTACTCTGAGACTCTTTAGATGCTACTGTAATACTTTGGTACTCTGAGACTCTTTAGATGCTACTGTAATACTTTGGTACTCTGAGACTCTTTAGATGCTACTGTAATACTTTGGTACTTTGAGACTCTTTAGATGCTACTGTAATACTTTGGTACTTTGAGACTCTTTAGATGCTACTGTAATACTTTGGTACTCTGAGACTCTTTAGATGCTACTGTAATACTTTGGTACTCTGAGACTCTTTAGATGCTACTGTAATACTTTGGTACTTTGAGACTCTTTAGATGCTACTGTAATACTTTGGTACTTTGAGACTCTTTAGATGCTACTGTAATACTTTGGTACTCTGAGACTCTTTAGATGCTACTGTAATACTTTGGTACTCTGAGACTCTTTAGGTGCTACTGTAATACTTTGGTACTCTGAGACTCTTTAGGTGCTACTGTAATACTTTGGTACTCTGAGACTCTTTAGGTGCTACTGTAATACTTTGGTACTCTGAGACTCTTTAGGTGCTACTGTAATACTTTGGTACTTTGAGACTCTTTAGATGCTACTGTAATACTTTGGTACTCTGAGACTCTTTAGATGCTACTGTAATACTTTGGTACTTTGAGACTCTTTAGGTGCTACTGTAATACTTTGGTACTCTGAGACTCTTTAGGTGCTACTGTAATACTTTGGTACTTTAAGACTCTTTAGATGCTACTGTAATACTTTGGTACTCTGAGACTCTTTAGGTGCTACTGTAATACTTTGGTACTCTGAGACTCTTTAGATGCTACTGTAATACTTTGGTACTCTGAGACTCTTTAGGTGCTACTGTAATACTTTGGTACTCTGAGACTCTTTAGGTGCTACTGTAATACTTTGGTACTTTAAGACTCTTTAGATGCTACTGTAATACTTTGGTACTTTGAGACTCTTTAGGTGCTACTGTAATACTTTGGTACTTTGAGACTCTTTAGATGCTACTGTAATACTTTGGTACTTTGAGACTCTTTAGATGCTACTGTAATACTTTGGTACTCTGAGACTCTTTAGATGCTACTGTAATACTTTGGTACTCTGAGACTCTTTAGATGCTACTGTAATACTTTGGTACTCTGAGACTCTTTAGGTGCTACTGTAATACTTTGGTACTCTGAGACTCTTTAGATGCTACTGTAATACTTTGGTACATTGAGACTCTTTAGGTGCTACTGTAATACTTTGGTACTTTGAGACTCTTTAGATGCTACTGTAATACTTTGGTACTTTGAGACTCTTTAGGTGCTACTGTAATACTTTGGTACTCTGAGACTCTTTAGATGCTACTGTAATACTTTGGTACATTGAGACTCTTTAGGTGCTACTGTAATACTTTGGTACTTTGAGACTCTTTAGATGCTACTGTAATACTTTGGTACTTTGAGACTCTTTAGATGCTACTGTAATACTTTGGTACTCTGAGACTCTTTAGGTGCTACTGTAATACTTTGGTACTTTGAGACTCTTTAGATGCTACTGTAATACTTTGGTACTTTAAGACTCTTTAGGTGCTACTGTAATACTTTTGTACTTTTACTCAAGACATTGAATTACTTGTAAGAGAGTATTTTGACAGTGTAGTGCAGGGGTACTCAAACTTTTTTATTAAAGGTCCAGTTGTGAACTTTATACAAGGTCACTGGTCCGGATCAATGCCAGTAAAGTCCACCCCCCCCCCGAGCGGAGAAACGAAACTGAAATTAAGAAGCAGTTTCTTGGCGCTCTATGCATGGGGCCCCTTGAGGGGGTTTCCCGACATGTCGTTGCAGTAAATTAAAGGGTTTTCATGTTGTCGTTGCTGTGGACCTTCTTAATCTACCTTCTTTGGGGGCCCCCTTCTGGTCCAAGCACTTGCCTGCCTTGCCTGTCGGTAAACGGCGCCCCTGTAAACACACACACATTCAGTATGTCAAGGTAAACTTGCGGTTAACTTGCGGTCTGCTATGTGTGTCACGCTCGCACACACAAGTAAATATATATGCACGTTCATTCTCACAACGCGTCAGACACAAGACGCGCATACATGATGATGTACATTAATTTATCAGAATCAGATTTTTTTTTTTTTTTATAATAATTTAAAAAAAAATATATAATGGGACACAGGGTTCGGTCCGGATTGATTTGCAGTTCGGTCCGGATCCGGACCTTGGTCCGGAGTTTGAGAAGCCCTGCTGTAGTGCAACCACTTTTACTTTCACTTGTAGATCTGAGTACTGTTGGCCTTCCGCACAGCTGTGAACGATGACATGACAAATACACAGTTACAGTCAGACGTCCTATAGATAGTAGGTCAACATGCAGTGTGTGTGTGTGTGTGTGTGTGTGTGTGTGTGTGTGTGTGTGTGTCAGCTGTGTTAAGACCTCTGTCAAGCGCAGAGTCATTGATTGCTGAATATTTCACACTTCCTGAAGCTATTTCACATTAATGAAGCTCAGCGCAAGTTCAACCAGGAAGACCTTCTTTACTCATTCATTTACTATGTCCATGTTACTACTCTCTCTCCTCTCAATAAGTGATCGGGGGCGTCACTCCCCAGCTTAACCAATCACTTTGCTCTATTCTCACAAGCCTATCACAGCACTCCGCAATACCTTTTAAATCTGCTCTCCCCCCTGACAGCTGTCATTTCAGGTGACTCAACGCAACCCTCCTCCACCCCTTTTCACCTCCTGTCCCTCTGAATCCAGGGTCAAGCTAAGCCCTTCCCCTTCAGACCGACCCCAACTATCCATTCACCACCACCAGGGTCAAGCTAAGCCCCTCCCCTTCAGACCGACCCCAACTATCCATTCACCACCACCAGGGTCAAGCTAAGCCACTCCCCTTCAGACCGACCCCAACTATCCATTCAGCACCACCAGGGTCAAGCTAAGCCCCTCCCCTTCAGACCGAACCCAACTATCCATTCACCACCACCAGGGTCAAGCTAAGCCCCTCCCCTTCAGACCGACCCCAACTATCCATTCACCACCACCAGGGTCAAGCTAAGCCACTCCCCTTCAGACCGACCCCAACTATCCATTCAGCACCACCAGGGTCAAGCTAAGCCCCTCCCCTTCAGACCGACCCCAACTATCCATTCACCACCACCAGGGTCAAGCTAAGCCCCTCCCCTTCAGACCGACCCCAACTATCCATTCACCACCACCAGGGTCAAGCTAAGCCACTCCCCTTCAGACCGACCCCAACTATCCATTCACCACCACCAGGGTCAAGCTAAGCCCCTCCCCTTCAGACCGACCCCAACTATCCATTCACCACCACCAGGGTCAAGCTAAGCCCCTCCCCTTCAGACCGACCCCAACTATCCATTCACCACCACCAGGGTCAAGCTAAGCCCCTCCCCTTCAGACCGACCCCAACTATCCATTCACCACCACCAGGGTCAAGCTAAGCCCCTCCCCTTCAGACCGACCCCAACTATTCATTCACCACCACCAGGGTCAAGCTAAGCCACTCCCCTTCAGACCGACCCCAACTATCCATTCACCACCACCAGGGTCAAGCTAAGCCCCTCCCCTTCAGACCGACCCCAACTATCCATTCACCACCACCAGGGTCAAGCTAAGCCCCTCCCCTTCAGACCGAACCCAACCATCCATTCACCACCACCAGGGTCAAGCTAAGCCACTCCCCTTCAGACCGACCCCAACTATCCATTCACCACCACCAGGGTCAAGCTAAGCCACTCCCCTTCAGACCGACCCCAACTATCCATTCACCACCACCAGGGTCAAGCTAAGCCACTCCCCTTCAGACCGAACCCAACTATCCATTCACCACCACCAGTGTCTAGACCCCGGGGGGTTTCATCTGATCGGGTCTCCCCTCCCGAATGATACTCCCGCACAACGGGGCCTAATCGCCAAAACTCCATTACATTCATTTGTGTATTCCTGGCAATAAATATGTTTTCTTATCAACACCGTCTCTCCTGATTGAACTGTTGTGGGCACATTAGCGTGTTAGCATGCTAACGAGCACTAGGTCTGCGCTTCTGGATTTTTAAAATAGTTTTCGTAACACTTTATATTAAGGTACACGTATTCACCATCAACTAGATCAGGGGTCGGCAACCTTTTTGATATGAAGTGCCATTAAAAAAAAAAATTGTTATCGGCGTGCCAACGATCGAGAATTATCGACGGGGGGGGGGGTTGAGGAACTTGACGCTGGTGAACTATCAACAGGAGGGCGGGGGGAGCCTCGTGTGTGTACCTGTCAGCACAACTTACATGATGCCATTTAAATAATTGGTTTAAACGGCATAATAATAAGGACGATCGTCCGTTCTGTGATTCTCCAGAACACACATGTTATAATATTAGGGTCATGCAGAGTGAGATGAGATCGCTGTCCCTTTAAGAGAGAGAGAGAGAGGGGTGTGGCGTGTGAATGTGTGTGTGTGGATGGTAGAGCGAGAGTGAGCGAGCGTGTGTATGTTTCTGGAAGTGAAACGAGGCAGCAGAAAAACAGAGGTCTGTGATGTATTTTGTGAAACAGAAGAACAGCTAAATAAATGCAACGGCCTCCCAAGAAGAGCTCACCTCTCTCCAGTCATTTAAGCTAAAGTGGGTTATTGAACCTGAAGCTTGTTGCTTCTGCCCTCCTCGACTACGGTCTGGGAGCCGACAGGAAAGTTCAACACACAGATGGCCAGTCCGCCCCTTTGTAGCATATTATTTCAATGAGAGATGAGCAGATCGCCACTGGGCTTTCAACTAAAGACACAGCCACGCAAAAACTGTGGTATTTGTACAGCTCCTTATGGGTACTGCAATTTGTGAAGTGCTTTCCTCTGTGGTGAAACGATCAGCACTGTGGAGTTAAAGAGAGCGGGGCTGCGCTGCGTGCATGGCTTCCTTCTGCAGGTAACGGGGAGACGCGCTCTGGCGGCGATCTCGTTCAGGATCCGAAAATACAATTTAAATATTTTGCACACTTATTCCACTTATTCCTAGTGTGCCACTGGTTACGGTGCCGCGTGCCAATGTTGGCACGCGTGCCAGGGGTTGCCGACCCCTGAACTAGATGTTAATTAACATAATAATAATAATAATAATAATACATGTTATTTATAAAGTGCTTTTCCTGGAGCTCAAAGCGCTTTACAAGCAAGTAAAGAAGATTAATAACAAAATGCATATCAGCTTATTGGTTATGAACAACATTTAGGGAATAGGGAACATAGTCTGAGTTAGAAATACCACATTTTTATTATGGAGACTATTCTTGTGGTGCTACTGCCTTATTAGGCCCATATTGAGCAGAGCATATTAAGACCAAAACTCATGGACAACAACTCCCTTACTTGCAATAAATCAGCACTAATTAGAGGGTTATTGAGGAAAAACTCTCAACTAATGACTTATTACTTGTAGAATACGGTCATGCAGAATAAGGCATTAATAAGTGTTTTATAATGACTGATAAAGAGCCAATAAACTGCTAATATGCATGTTAATTAACAACTAGTTGATGGTGAATACGTGTACCTTAATATAAAGTGTTAGCATTGTTTTAATCACAGGATGTTCAAAGCTTCTAGGTTTTGGGCTAACATTTAATATCTGATGATTGAATCACCTTAAAGAATGAGACAGTATAAATGTTTTTTGTATGGATTCAGATTACTTTATCGTGAATTAAAATTGTGTCTTTGGGAAACACACAAAACACAACCATTAAAAAAGGGACTAAGAGGTATGTTTAAGAGCCTTGGTGTCATCCTGGACAGCTCCCTCTCATTTTCACCTCACATAAATAACATCACCCGGACTGCCTTCTTCCATACGCAACATCTCCAGACTCCGCCCATCCCTTTCTCAATCAAACACTGAAGCCCTGGTCAATGCATTTGTTACGTCCCGCATCGACTACTGTAACGCCATCCTCTCAGGCATTCCCACCAAGCTCATCAATAAACTACAAATCATACAGAACTCTGCAGCCCGGACCCTCACCGGCACCACGGCCTCAGGACACATCACCCCCATCCTCATCCAACTCCACTGGCTCCCCGTTCAACCACGCATCAACTTCAAAAACCGACTGCTCACTTACAAAGCCCTACATGACCTGCCCCCCCCCCCCCTATCTGGCTGACCTTCTTCAGGAGTACACCCCCTCTCGCTCCCTCTGCTGGTCTGCTGACCCCCCCCACCCCACCCTCGGGCTTTTAGCTGCACTGCTCCCAGACTCTGGAACTCCCTCCCCCCCGCACATCCGACAGTCAGACACAATCACCACATTCAAATCCCAATTAAAAACCCACCTGTTCAGATCTGCCTACTCACTGTAGTGCTCCATTATATGTTTCATGTGTGTCCACTTGTCTCCTCCATGCTTTCCTGTTTGTGTTTTTATCATGTTCTGTTGCCTAGTAGCGTTTTCTTTTTTAACTAATTGTACGGTGTCATGAAAGGCGCCTAAAATAAAATGTATTATTATGTTGATCCAGTCAAATATCACCAAATAATACTCAGTATATAAACAATAAATACATTAAAATGAGTGATGGTGTGCTCAGTAACAGCACGTCACATGACCAGCATGCAGCAGGATGTACAGTCTTTATGAATACAGTCTATGGTGCGTTCAGGTGTGGGACTTTGTGCAGGATGTTTAAGTGTCTGCAGAGAATAGGATATACGCGCTCTCGCTAAACTGTACTACGACGCTGGTTATCAAGTGGATCGCTCAAGCCAGCCGTGTCCTATCTAGTTAGGTGCGCGTTCACATGAAAGGGGTGGTATCTGGAGCATTCGACCAATCACAAACATGGACAAGCATACTGACAGCGCAGCGTCATACTTCCTGAATGAAAAGTGAACTTTAATATTAGTCAAATATGAAGAAGTTAAACTTTAAACATCCATG